ATAGCCAGAGTGCTCCTTGGAGGCCAGGATGTCCAAACTTCGTCTCTTATACTTCAGACATATTGTCAGGAGGGACCAGTAACTGGAGAATGATATTGTGTTTGGAAGGGTAAAGGGTCAGAGAAAAAGAGGAAGACCCCCAGTGAAATGGATTGGCCAAGTAGCAGCATTCATGGACTCAAGCATGGCAATGATAGTGAGGTTGGCCCAGGATCGGGCAGTGTTTTGTTGTACTGTGCATAAGGTCGCTATGAGTTGGTACTGACTCAATGGCACCTAACAACAACAACAAAGGAGCCCTGGGAGTCCTGGTGTGGTGCGGCGGGTTAATGTGCTGGACTGTAAAGTCGGTTTGAACTGCAAGGTCAGTGGTTCAAGCCCACCAGTTGCTCCTTGGAAACACTATACAGGGTCATTATGAATCAAAAACCAACTCAACGGCCCTTAACAACAAGGAGCCCTGGTAGTATAATGGATTACGTTGAGCTGCTAACCACAAAGTCAGTAGTTCAAATCTACCAGTCACTCCATGGGAGAAAGATGAGATTATTTTGCTCCCGTAAAGATGTACAGCCTTAGAAATCCTGTACAAAGTTGCTATGAATCAGAACCAACTTGGTGGCACATAACCACCAACACAGGTCTGCGACAGAAGCAAGAATGGTGAGGCTTCAGCTTGCTAACACTGGGCACATCATTAGGAAAGAGCAATTAAAACAATGACAACAAGAACAACACTGATTCCTAATTAAATTTTCTCAACAAAGTATGATTATAAGGGAAATTCCTCAATATAATTAAAGGCATATGTGAATCAATGAATATGGAAGATTGTAGAAGGAATCGATGCATCTGAGTTATGGTGTTGCAGGAAAATCTTAAAAGTACCATTGTCTGCCAATAGAATAAACAAATCTGTGACGGAAGAAGTACAGCCAGAATGCTCCTTGGAAGTCAGATGGCCAAACTTCATCTCTCATACTCTGGACATATTATCAGGAGGGACCAGTCTCTGGAAAAGGCCATCCTGTTTGGTAAGGTGGAGGGTTGGAGAAAAGGGGGAGGATCCTCAACGAGATGGACTGACACAGTGACAACAACAATGGGCTCAAGCATAGCACCAATTGTGAGGTCGATGCAGGACCCTAGTAGTGTTTCGTACTCTTGTGCATAGGGTCACTATGAGTCAGTGCTGACTTCATGGCACCTAACAACAACAACATATGATCTACCCATTCAAGTACTAGATATTTTATCAAGAGAAATGAAAGCATATGTCTACACAAAGACTTATACATGAATGCTCATAAAAGTTTTATCTATAATAACTGAAAATTGAAACAACCTAAAAAAATCTACCCACAGATGACTGGAAAACAATTTGTGCTAATAACCATATCATGGAATACTTCTAACAAAAAACAGTCAGCTTTTAATATATGTAGCACTCATGGGTGAGTCTCTGAATTATTCTCAATGACATCAACAGACACAAAAAAGAAGTAAAGTTTTTTCAAATTTAATCATTTAATTTATAGTGACAGAGCAGGAAGAGAGACATGGAGGGACAAATTACAAAGAGGCATGGGAAAATGTTTGTGGATGAAAGATATGTTCGCTATCTAACTGTGGTGAAGGTTTCACAGACGCATACTTGTCTCATCAAACTGTTATACTTTAAATATGCAGATTACTGTACGCCACTAGGAACTCAATAAAACTGTACAGAAAAACAACCAAGTAGAATAAACTACCAAAGACCCAACTTTGTCTAATCCTCACATTTAAGGGTAAAAGAAAGAAAAGGAAGTACTAAAGGAGAATGAAAGGAGCTCTGGTAGCGTAGTGGTTACAAATTGGGCTGTGAACCTCAAGGTCAGCAGTTTGAAACTCCCAGCTTTTCTGCTGGAGAAAGATGAGGCTTTCTGCTCCCGTAAAGATTTACAGCCTCAGAAATCCTGTGCAGGGTTGCTAAAGAGTTGTAACCGACTCCACGGCACATAACAAAGGAGAATGAAGAAAACTGGTCCTAGGTGGGATAAAAAGACAAAATTGACTAAAGAAACTACCTAGTGTAAACAGTGTCGATTTACATTGAGAACTTAAGAAAATTGAAGACTAGGAAAAGGCCATTGAATTTAGATATTAGGAGATATGTGTTAAAACAGTGAATTCAGAAGTCACCAGAGAGAAAAGCACTAGAATCCGAAGGTCTGGCGTTAAGAGAATGGGAAGTCAGTGAGAGGTAGCAGAAGGACACATCATCTGAAAAGCCTTAGAAGAGGGTGCGAGTGATGCAAAATGCAAGTTTCACTCATTTGTTATATTTGTATGCTTCTTTCCTTCCTGACAAGTACTGTCTTTGTGAAATTACAGACAACATGAGTGCATTTATGTTTGATTGGCATCGTAATAAAGATACTGCTTTATATTCTGCATAGTTTTTTTTCAGGATCAAGTCATTATGTCACTTAAATGAAAACATTCCTAAGAACTCTGTCTACCTCTTTAAAGTCCATACCTAAGAAATGACTGATGGGAGAGGATGCCTTGGTAATAACCCGGTTGAGAATTTGCTCCATGATTTCTTGTCTGACCATCTCATGGATCTAAAATGAAAAGAACAAGTAAAATGAATACTGGAATACTTAGTGATCTTTGGCTTACAACTGCATCAACGCATGTTAAATAGTCCCTAATTCTGGGAATATTTTTAATTGAACTGCTGTTAAAAAGGGAAATTAATATCATTCAACTCCACTGAAAACTCTCAAGGACTACTCTGTGGCATTCACTTCAGAATTCTGGAACAGAGCACCAGGTTTACATTTAGGTTCGCCTCCAAATAACATTTTCAGCAGACACTTCTGATGTGTAGCTACATTAAATAAGTGAATGTCAAAAAGACGACTTAAAGAAATCACTAGCAAAACAAAGAAATCACTAGCTAAAGCCTTAGATATGACTTGAGTTGGTTTATTAAATTATTATTTAAAAGGAAATTTTTTTTTGAAAGTTATTGCAGAAATTAAGATAGAAATGAGTCATAATTTGGTAACCACATCAAACAATGTAAACCGCCCATTTTGGGTTCTCTAAAAACAACCAATAAATATGATTCTTCAAGTTATGATGTTCTCTCCAGTGATCTAAAGATTATTTTTTTAATAAAGGAGTAGCATTTTTTTCAATCCAGAAATAATTTACTGCTGGTAGAAGATAAAACCATGGGACAGCTATTTTTTGTCCAAATGTCTAAGAATTGACAAGAAATTACAGGACTTAGTGAAATAAATGAAAGGATGCATTACATCAAACTACATCAGTAGTGTTTCAATATCATCCTAATCTCTGCCCTGGCAACTGCTACATACTTACATGTTGGTGTCCTAAAACTTAGATAAAGAATGGTAAATGCTACATTATGTATTAACAGGTATGACTGAACAAAAAATTAGGCAATGGTTGCCCATCTAGTATCTCACCTTAAAAGTTTCCAACAGGATATCAGCACCCAGTTTACATGCTTGATGGACTGGCATTCTAGTAAGACCTGAGCTGACATCAAGAGCTTTTCCCTCAAGAATCTTCTTTGGCCCATATGAATCCATTAAAATGAAACCAAGTTCTACCAGGCCCTGAGTAACATGATCCCAACTATGAGAACTGCAAGAAAACAAAGCTTAGTCAAAAATAAAACCTTAGTAAAATAGTTTACCTTTATACTCAGTGTCCTTTACCACATTTTCCAAAACAGATCTGGATAACCATCCAACTCCTCACATCTCTTATCTGACATCTTTATTTGACATAATTCAGAGTTTCTAGAGGTAAAGTAAAGGGAATGACACCCAAATAGTCTACACAATTAGAAAAAGCCAGGAACTACACAATATTTAAAAATATGCAGATAAAATAGAATGTTTCAACTTAATGACCACTTGAGATTTCCACTTAAAATTTCAAGGTTACAAGTTGGTTCTTATACTCCATGATAACTAACAACACTTACATTATGTGATTTACCTCCCTCCCTAGGCTGGTCTTCTCAACGGTAAAGACCAGAAGTCGTTTTTATCCATATAGTCCTGGTGTGGCATTACAGGATAAACACCAGACTGCTAACTGCAAGGTCTGTGGTTCAAATCCACCAGCCGCTCCTCAAACACACTATACAGGATTGCTATGAGTTAGAACTGACTTGATAACACTTAGTATATCCTGAAACTACAGTAATAACCATATAGGATGGTTGCCAGTCTTTTCCATGTGGTTAGAACTGGATTTGTCTAAAATATAAATATAAGGAGTATTTAGATATAACTGCTGACTAAATAGTTCAATTCCAACATCAGCCCCAAATTCAAATAATTAAACAAAACTCCGAATGTCTTCTCTTCACCCAAACAATGCCTATTACAGGCTACTAAAGAGTTGGCACAGCACGGGAGGAGCAGTTGTGTACTCTTATTATCAAGGTGGTTGATAAACCAGTCCCTGAGAATCAGGATCTTTCCATACAGGAAGCACTCGCCTGTCCAATTCTAAGGGATTAAACCTTGATATGGAAAGCCTACATGTGCAGTAACTAATTTTCTCAGAAGGGTCATATCTTAGTTATTTAGTGCTGCAATAACAAAAATACTGCAAGTGGATGCCTTTAACAAACAGAAACTTATTTTCCCACAGTTTAGGAGGCTGAAAGTTTAAATTCAGGGTGGCTTTGGAGGAAGGAGGGTCCTGTCTCCTTTGAGCTTTTGCTCCTAGGTGATATTCATATACCTGGGCATCTTTCTTCCTCCATCTCTGCCTGTTTGCTTTGATGGATACATGAGGTGGTGCTGTGGATTGGCACTGGACTAAGAACCACAAGGTTGCTGGTTCAAACCCACTAGCTACTCCTTGGAAACCCTGTAAAGAGTCACTAAGACTTGACTCAACAGCACTTAACAAAAACAACGACAATCTCTTTTACATCTCAAAAAAAAAGACTGACTCAAAACACAGTCTAGCACCAAACAAGGTGGCGGATTGGGTAGAAGTGCAGTGAGGAGCTCCATCAGCAACAACACAGACTACCAGATTAAGCAGGCTCAGGGGATGGTACCAGAACTCTGAACCATGTAGAAGGGAATATTTAGAAGCTTGGAAGGCTTACAGCTAGGGGAATTTGTAGCAGAAGCATGAACTCCATTAATTTGTAATTCAAGACGCTCAGCTGCTCCCAGAGCTGCCATCTTGGGTGAGATCAAGCGGGGGAAGGATCAGAGCAGCCATGGATGCCTGACAGAACCATGGAGATAAAGGAAGAAGAGTGAAAAGGGAAGCCCATCTCCTGATCACATCTACCTGGAGGCAATCAGAAAGCATAAAAAATATCAAAATACATACCTATCTAAGTATTAACGCCACAGATAAC